GGGGGGGGAAAACAAAATATTTTTATGATATATGAAATATTCTAGAAAACAAAAAAGAGAGAAAGAAAAAGAAAAGAAAGACATCTGTTATTAAATTACCTTTTTGCCCTTCCAAAATGAGAATATATCCACCACTCATTCAAATTTTGGATTACCTCCACTTAAACTTTTTTATAGAGTAGTATAGAGACAGGACGCACCAAAGAATGAGTAACAGACAACTCTTAGAAATATGTTAATTTTGTCATTTCTTATTGTAAGCAACGTTAACTTGCTTAAAATCTGACTAGGCCATTTGTCGCCGGGTTCCCATTTTCGTCCGAAGTCCAATCGAACTATTTATTTTCTCCTCTAATTACGAAAGAGAAAAAAAATTTCTTATTATTTTTTAGGGAAAAATGTAGTAAGGCCCCCAAAAAATAAAGTGATTGTGAACAGGTCCCTCTAATTATTTTTTGTGTGACAAAGCCCAACCCATAAAGTACTTGTGTTTCAGTCCCTCTTTTCTTTTCCAAGACAACACAGTGAGCCAATTTTTAGGAATACCCTAAAATACCCTCAACTCCTTCCCCATCAAAACTTGTTTGCCCTCTCTCTCTCTCCTCTCTTCTCATGCTCAAACTTCCTCAAACCACTGTCAATTTGGCGGAGGCGGTGGCAAGAAGAAGCCGCCACCGTCACTTATTCCTCCCGCCACCTCAACCTCCCAAACAACCTCTTCAACTCCTCTCCCCCCTCTTCAATCTCCACCCTCAAGAACCTCGTCATCCTCGATCTCTACAACAACAATCTCAGCGGAGCTCTGCCGCCAGAGATCGCCAACCTCATCGCCCTCCGACACCTTCATCTCGGTGGTAACTTCTTCTCCGGCGAGATCCCCAAAGTGTACGGCCACATGAAATCTTTAGAATACTTCATCGTTTCTAGTATTGAGCTTAGGGGTTCGATCCCGAAGGAGAGTGGAGATTTGAGCAGTTTAAAGGAGCATTATTTAGGGTATTTCAACGATTATAGTGGTGGGATCCCTGCTGAGATTGGAAACTTGTCGAATCTTATTCGATTCGATGCAGCAAACTGTGGCTTGACTGGTGAGATTCCGCCAGAGATTGGGAAGTTAGAGAACCTCGATACTTTGTTTTTGCAAGATAACAGTATATCCGACGAGATCACGCCGGAGTTAGGGGAGCTGCACAGTTTGAAGTCGCTGGATCTTTCCACCAACGCACTCGCTGGTGAGATCCCTGTGGGCTTTTCGAAGCTCACGAATCTTACCATGTTGAATTTGTTAAGGAATAAGTTAACCGAAGCGATTCCTGCGTTTATCGGAGACTTGCCGGAGCTTGAAGTGCTGTAGCTTTGGGAGAATAATTTTACTAGGAGTATTCCTAAAAATCTTGGGAGAATAATTATTTGAACGGTTCTATTCCTGATGGTTTGTTTAGCTTACCAAATATAGTCCAGATTGAGTTACATGATAATTTGTTAACTAACGAGTTTTCAAGAACAAAAGATAGTTTGGGTTCTTCAAATTTAGGGGAAATTAGTTTACGCTCTTCCAGCTTCGATTGGCAGTTTCTCTGCACTTCAGAAGCTTGTTATCAACGATAATTCTTCATACATACTAAGTCATGATGTAGTTGATTGAAAACATAGTAGCAGTTGGGTGGTTGCCTATAATTGATTCTGTATCAAACGACAACCACCAAAAGAGGTATTCTGAGAATAAAGTTACATAATTAGAAGAATGTGATGTTTGTTTTGTTGTTTTGCATAGTCATACTTAAAATTTCACTGGAAATTTTTTATTGTGGTTTCGTGAGGATTGAGGGGAACCGAGATGAAGCGACTTTGATTTCTTGGACCGGAGTAAAGTATTGATAAGTTGAGTTATTAAGTCATATGTTAGGTTATACATTTCTCAATTATTAAGTCATGTCATTTTCATCGAAGCTGTAATCTGTGAATTTGTAAGAATAATCATATTGTGTACTCAAACAATATCACTTGCAAGAATGTAAGAAGTTTTATAATTAATTACAGCTGGATAACTTTCTGTTAAACATGTTATCTTTCATTTGGCTATGTTATCTTTCAGCTGAATAAGTTATCTTTTACATGAACATGTCAACTTTCTTCATAACATGTTAATTTTAATATGAAGATGTTAGAATAAGTTATCTTTTACATGAACATGTCAACTTTCTTCATAACATGTTAATTTTAATATGAAGATGTTAACTTTCATCGTAATATGTTAACTTTAATCAACTTTCTTCATAACATGTTAATTTTAATATGAAGATGTTAACTTTCATCGTAATATGTTAACTTTAATTGTTACATGTCAACTTTCATCATTATATGTTAACTCTCATGATAACATGTAAACTTTTCAGTGAACATGTTAACGTTCATCATAATATGTTAACTTTCACTGTTACATGTTAACTTTCATCATTATATGTTAATTCTCCTCATAACATGTTAATTTTTAAGTTGAACATGTTAACGTTCATCATAATATGTTAATTTTCACTATTACATGTTAACTTTCATACTAATATGTTAACTGTCATGTGAACATGTTAACTTTCATCATAACATGTTAACCTTCACTATTACATGTTAATTTTCACCATAATATGTTAACTTTCTTCATAACATATTAACTTTCAACTGAACATGTTAACTTTCAATTGAACATGTTAACGTTCACCATAATAAAATTCTTACATTCTTACAGCTAATATTATTTGAATACATGATTTCATCTCTTGACACATAGCTATGATACTTAACACACGATAGGAAGAGTTAACATATAACTGTTAAAGTTAATATTTACTATTCGTTTATGCTGTGGAATTTGAAATCACAAAACTAACATCACACAAAGCTAAATTTTAAAAAGAGTTTATTAATTACTTACATTTCAGTTAGAACTTTCTGATTTTTTTAAATAGAACTCTTTATATTAACAACAATATCAGTTCTAAAATAGAACTCACTAACCTTTCTGATTTTTTTAAATAGAACTCTTTATATTAACAACAATATCAGTTCTAAAATAGAACTCACTAACTAACGTCTAGTTCTATTTCTTCACTTTTTATATTAACAACAATATCAGTTCTAAAATAGAACTCACTAACTAACGTCTAGTTCTATTTCTTCACTTCCTTTTAGTAGTAATTGGTGGTAATATCTCTATTTCATCTTTTGAAACACTTCGCTTCTCATAATCTAGGATGAGATAAAAGACTTGTCATAGTTTTTTTTAAACGCTTCTACGAAAATATAGCAGTGAAAGTTAACAGGTTTGGATGAAAGTTAACATAAAGCAGTAAAAGTTAACATTCAGTATGAAAAGTTAACAGACTAAGAGAAAAGTTAACACGTTCAGTTAAATCAACATATAACTATTATAGTTAACATGTTCTGATAAAAGTTAAACATATAGCTATGATACTTAACACACGACAGGAAGAGTTAACATGTAACCGTTAAAGTTAATATTTATGATTTGTCTATGCTGTGGAATCTAAAATCACAAAACTAACATAACACAAAGCCAATTTATTGATTATATTTCAGTTAGAACTTTCTAATTTTTTTAAAATAGAAATATCTATATTAACAACAGCTTACATATGAATCTTCATACAACCACTGTTTCGATTATGCTCTATCGTGCACTTCAAATCATCTTCACTATCAACAAAAATACTCAGATTCGGGTGCAAAATATATAATGTATTTTCAAAATCAACTTAGTGCTCCACGTGATTAATCCAAAGGTTTCACAATTTTTAAAAATCAAATAGTAATCACAAGAAGCAAGAAGCTCGCTCAATTCTCACAAATAGAACTCTACTATATATGTTCTTTACTACCATATCTTGTACAAACCTCACCACAAATCACTAAAGAATTGACTCAACTACAAGCAACCAAATGCTCCATAATCCGAAAATATACTGCTAATAAAAAAATCACAGCAACCTCAAGAGGAGCTTGAGCGCTGCAAGCAACCAAATTCACTCCCAATATGGATGCTTCTAACTCTTGTTGCAAAACCAAGGGGACATATGGTTTCACACATATCTTCTTCTTTGGGGCTCACATGGACAAGCATCAATGATTTTGAATCTGATCCTGAAACCATGTATAGTGACCTGAAACTTCAGTTGCTACCAAATATGTTATAGGAATAAACAAGAAAGATATCGTTCAGAGAAATATCAGACTTACCAAGGGAATCTCTAAGAACTTGTGTAAGCTTACTATTCCTGCAAAATGTGGGAAACCCAAATTATTTGGTTTTTGGAGGGACACAATTAATTTCTACCTAAAAGTTTCCATTAAATGTACCTGTAAGGAACATGAGACTTTCTACTTTGGAGTGCACTAATAACATCCAAAGGGCTGAAAGTGATAGATTTATTGCCTTCCTCTCTCTTTTATTCCCTATGTGAAGACCATATATTTTTGTGATCACATTACCCTCTCTTCATCTCCTCTGCTTCTTCCAGCAGTAGCATTAGCGGTGACCAGAATTGATCGGAATGGAGAGAAATGGGCTCCCTTCAATCTTCATTGCGGCTGCATCTCTTCTCTCAGTTCTCGCTCTTGCATCCTCATTTGATTACAAGGACACCCTATCAAAAAGTTTTCTATACTTTGAGGCCCAGCGGTCCGGTCACCTCCCTTACAACCAGCGTATTCGATGGCGAGGGCATTCAGAACTCACTGACGGGCTCCAACAAGGAGTAATCACACTACCAACTTCTCGTCTTTGACTCTTACAAGAGAAGAAAGGGGGAGAGGAGGAGGAGAGAAGAAGAGGAGAAATGAGGGGGAGAGGAGGAGGAGAAAGACACAGAGGAGAAGAAGAAGAAGAAGAAGAAAAGGAGAAGGGGTATTTTTGGAAAGCTGTTGGGATTAATTCCTAGGAGAGTGTGAAAGGGGCAAGATCATATTTTTTGGGGTTTTTGGGGTTAAAGCACGTGGGGAAAACATTAAGGGGCTGGGTCACAATCACTTTATTTTTTTGGGGTCTTAATACATTTTCCCCTATTTTTTAACGGAAAAAATTCCAGTTGACTGGTCAATGCAGCTCCCTAATAGCGTAATTATAAAGCAGAAAATCAATTAATAGCGTAATAATAAAGCTGAAAATTTCGAAGCCCCGGAGATTTCGAACGCTCCATGTGCACAAACGCTTCAAAAAGCAAGGGAAAAGAACCGGACTCAATATATATATAATCACCGCCTCGCCGTATTTGGCGTTTTACTCCTCCTGAAAAAAAAAGGCATCACCTTTTTTCGAATCACTGAACGCCGTTGAAGTTCAAACTGCCCTCTCTCTCTCTCTCTCTCTCTCTCTCTCTCTCTCTCTTCTCCCGTCTCCTTCTAGGGTTAGAAAATGGATCTGGGTTCTTCTCCTCAAATTTATTCGAAAGAGAAGCATAAGATCTACGCCGAGTGGTTCTCCGTCGCCGATGCTGGTAACTTTTTTTGTTAAAAACCCTAATTCGACTCTTGCTTTTAATGGCAAAAGAACAAAATTTGATTCAATTTCTTTGTTTCTTTGTTTCAATCTTAGATGGAGATGGACGCGTTACTGGGAGTGATGCGCTCAAATTCTTTGCCATGTCCAATTTGTCTCGGCCCGAGCTCAAACAGGTGACCTTGCCTTTCCCCTTTTTTTTCTCTCGAGGTTTAAGTAATACTCATGGATTATTTGTTATCGTCAAAGTTTGGTTCGGTAACTTCTCATTGTTAGATGAACACTTTTAGGGGTTAATGTCAAACTTTTGCGTTAAATATTTCTCATCACCAACGTACTTTGATGTTGCTTTGTGAAATTTCGCACGAAGGTCTGGGCGATTGCTGATTCTAAAAGACAGGGGTTTCTTGATTTTCAAGAGTTCGTTAGTGCAATGCTGGTTCGATCTTTCACTTGCTATTTTCTTCCTTTTGCGATTGCAAAGTTGAAATTTAGGCACTGACCCATTAATGAACTGCACAGCTAATTGCGTTGGCGCAGGCAGGTCATGAAATTTCTCAAGATTCCCTTAAGCAAGCAGGTGAATGGATGGAATCTGCTTGTTTGTTGGAAGTGATTCATTTTTATGATGTCTCCGCTGATACATTACATTTGTCAATTATTGCAGAATTGGAGAATTTAAAACTTCCAGAGATGGAAGGTTTGGACAATCTAATAGCTGTAGGTCTATTGTTCTCTTTTGTGTGCTCAGGAACAGGAATTTCTATATTGCGGATTATTTATGTTTTTATAAATTGTTTTGATTATCTCTTAGAAAAACAAACCTTCACCGAAAAGAAAAGATTCTCATGCAGAAGGTAAGTTCAACTGTTAATTTTATGTTGCTCCAATATTAGGTTCATTGCAAACATCATCCCATTCTTTCTTGTAATGATGTAGCATCTCCGAAGCCCCCTGCACCAACATCTTTTAATTTTTTCAGTACAAAATCTACAAAGAAGGTACTTTCATTCTCCTGGTTCTCTTTTGTGCAAAACTTTTCTGTTGTTGCCAATTTTCCTTGGCCCTTCTTATTATTTTTATAAGAATTTGATCTTGACAGTAGCTTTTGACTTATCATTTATCTATTTAAAAAATCAGTTTTTTCCCAGTTTTAATTGGATTCTTTTATGTGATTGCTGATAAGCTATTTCATTTTCTGCATTATTTCTCTTTTATTGGTCAAATATGGTCTCTTGTTGTAACATATGGACTATTTGTTGAAGTACTTTTCTCATAGACCTTACACATTCTTTTCTAGTGAGGATAACCCTAACTGGCTGTAGCAGAGAACACTGTGAGTCTGTGACCTCAGTCTCTAAAACCTCTAATGGGGTGGCTCACCAAGAAAACCCTTGGATTAAAATTTCTCTTCCGCGTTGTCTCTCACTTCTAGAATATCCTCACCGTAGTATTACAACAACTCACCATATATAATTTAAGGCGCAAGTATCCATATTCTGTCATTTGAAATCAATTGGAATAAAAAAAGAACACAATTCTATCCATGCCTATTTAAACCATAGTGTTAGTACCCTAGAGGGGGGGTGTGAATAGGATAATGTGCTAATCTAATCCGATTTTATGCCAATTAAAAACTAATTAACAGATTTTTCTTTTAAGTATGATATACAACTAAGGAGAAAATTTTAAAACCAACAATTTTTAAAATTTAATAGGCAAAATCGACCTAAACTGAAAAATATTAGCAAAACCGACCCTTTTCAGAAGAAAAGGGTCGGTTTTGCAGCGGAGGGTCTTTTACGAAGTGCACGGGACTAGCAGTCCCGTGCATTTCGTTGACAAACGAAGTGCACGGGACTGCTAGTCCCGTGCACTTGGTGTTCAGCAACGGCTGCCCTCTCTGCTTAAAAGTCGGGATTGCTAACAAATCACATCACACCACAAACTCCCACTAACAAATCCAACATAATAACACCACAAACTCCCACTAACAAATCCAACATAATAACACCACAAACTCCCACTAACAAATCCAACATAATAACACCACAAACCCACTTAGAAATCAAACATATCACACGATATTATCGACTACAAATCCAAAAATCACATCCCTAAATAGTTTTGTAATGTATATAACCTGTAGTTTACATACATCCAAGAACTCTCCTCCTCCTCCTTTGGCTTCGTCGTCCTCCATACCGCCCTTCGACGAGTTCGTGATCCGGTTGCGTTTGTGGTTGTGACGGTCCAGCTCCATCGTCGACACGTTGGGAAGGTCCAGCTTCATCGTCATTTCTGCGTCGTCCTCGACTTTGTCGCTGTTGTCGTGTATATACGAATGGCGTTACCTCCCATCCATCATGACGATTTTCGTGAGTTCGGTGTAAGGCTTGTTGAAGCCTCTGCATTATAGCCTGATATATTGATACATGTTCATGTGCTTCGGGATTTCTATCTGCGATAGATAGTTCAAAAACAAAATTTCATATTAAATTTGATATTACAGAATGTAAATTTGAGATTTAATTTTATCGTACCTGCTCGAGCCAATTCCAAGCCACGATTTGCAAGAGTTTGAACGTCATCTATTGCTGATACGTGCAAAATTTTCAACACATAAAGTACCAATAAAAATGGACTTAAATCAAAATATGAAAATACTTACTAATTCTCTCTCATTTATACGTCGGGGCACATATCCTCTTTGCGACTCAACCGGTATTGTGGTCGAATGAAGTATCCATCTTCGGGTTATGCTCCAATACCAAGTGTAGTAATCTGATTCCCGAGGAGTTGGTTCAATTTGGTTGACAATACAAAAATGCCTATCATTCCATTTGTGTATAAAAGCTTGATGCACGATCATCCAGTTTATTTGTTAGCCTCCTTTCTTTGCCTTCCTCTCTATCTTTTCAACAAATTGCGGAACATGTTGTGCACGACCAAATTGTCAAAGCACGCGGTCCGGTACATGTATTTCTACTATCTCTAAACATATAAGAGGAACTCTAGCTCTCCATACAACTTGGTATTCTGTACATATTGGGGGTAGCTGAGGTAGAAATTGGGTGTAGGGCTCCCATTCCATCTACAATAATTTAATGCAGTTGCATATCAGAATTGGGTTTTTAGTATGTAGAAGAAAAAGCGCATGTTTTTCGGTGAGAATTACCTGAAAAATCTTCATACGGTCAAGCTCATTCCGGTAGAAATCCAATGGTTCCCCTAATTCGCACAAATCGTGATCGACCTGCTTGTCTCCGGTACTGAGGTGGAATTATACGCGGTCCATTATATTCAGGCCAATACCGACTATCATCAGGTGGATGAAAACTCTCACTATATGTCTTTTGATAGTGAGCTGTTTAATATCAAGGCGAGCAATACCGATTTCTGGGAATTCTAGCACCTCTCGGCTGATTAGAAGAAGCCGCAAGCACATGTGCACAGGGTATTTTTTAGAGTTGTGGTATGTTACATGTGCAAGTGCAGTCAACATCAAATAGTTTAACGGTGTAGATATCGTCACAATCCTGTACCTGCCATTCGTTGTCGTTGAATACGGTAATTTGACATGATCTTGCTGCCTTAATTCTTCTATGCAAAATGGACTCATTTTTGGTGTGTAACGTGTTGTCCAGTCTATGCCATCACCACGTCTTTTGTTGAAGTATGTGTTTAGTCTATAGAATGTTCTCGCAACCAAAGATTGTATTGGCATAGCTCGTGCTCCTTTAAGAACGCCGTTAAAGCTCTCGGAGCAATTAGTCGTCATCATGCAAAATCGCACACCCTCATCCTTACATAATGCCCACCAAAGCTCGAATTGGGGCTTCAAGTTATTTTCAATCCAATTATGTGCATCTAATGACAAAGACTTGATTTTCTCCCTGCAATGTTCATACACTAATGTGTCGGTTGCACACCCGGCTTGTCACAAAAGATTTTGCAAATTAATTTCACCGTGTTTTTTCTTGAAATTATCTCTTATATGCCTTAAACAATATCGATGGTGATGTGGTGCACTAAAACCCTCATGTAACGCCCTTATAATTCCTTTCATCCTATCCGAAATAAAGGTAATTATTCTTGGCGCACGGACACTTGGAATCCACTTGTATATAAGTTCAAAAAACCACTTCCAACTAGACGTATCCTCCACCTCCACGACTGCAAATGCTAGAGGAAATAACCCGCCATTTGCATCTACACCGGTCGCTACAAGAAGCACGTCTTTGTACTTTCCATATAAATATGAACCATCAATGCTCAATAGCGGACGACAAAAAGTGAAGCCCTTAATAGCAGGACCAAATGCCCAAAACACGCGAGTGAACCTCTCCATACCCGGTGCAATCTCTTCGGATAATATTTCATATTCAGTACCCGGATTATTTCGTTTGATAGCTTCAAGATACCGTGGAAGTAATTCATATGATTTTTCTCAATCTCCAAAAATTTTAGACAACGCTTTCCTCCTTGCATCATATGCCTTATATTTAGATATCTTAATCCCTCGCATGTCATATACCCTCTGAAATATCTGACCTGTATTCAGATCAAGTTCAGCTCTAACTTCAGGCATAATTAGCTTACATATATAAGAAGAAGATGCAGAATAATCATCGACATCCACCGACGGGTTGCAACATGTATGAAGTCCGCAATATCTACATATTACAAATTGCCCATTTGATGATTTTCTCACAGCGGCATTTAGCAACCAAGGACATTTTTTATTTCTCTCATCTTGCTCATTTGCGTTCTCTACTTCATTCTTATCGTTAAAGAAGCATTTCACATTGTAGTTTGTTGCATTAGTTTTTACCAGCTTGAATTTGACCCGATTCTTGATGGACCATTCTCGGATTGCAAAGATCATCTAATGACAAAGACTTGATTTTAAAAGTGAAGTCCTCAGGTCGTTGTAAATTTGGCCCAACATCAACAAATCCAGCTTGAGAAGTATTTATCCAATCCTCATTATGAACCTCGTCGGGCAACGGATCTTCAGCTTCCACATAATCATTGTTAATGTTAAATTGCTCCATCCAATGGGCGTCATCATCGATTCCAGCTGCCACATGCATGCTATCAATTTGCACGCCATCTTCTTCAAAATGATCTGAATCATCATCTGCTTCATCTTCTATAATTGCTCCGACTGGTGGGTAACCCGTAACATGACCTGAAGCGTCGTTAAATATATTAGTTGACGTCCCACCGATAGAATACTCACTTAAACGTTGTGGTTGAGACCATGGCTCTTGACTTGGAGATGTCATAAAACCAATCGACTCGTTGTCTAAGTCAAGCATCCGAGAAAACTCTCCTTGAGGTCGTGAAACTTGGGCAAATTCCTGAATCGGATACTTCTCAATAAACAACTCAATTGACGCTTGCTTCTCGACTAATTGTTTCATGTCATTCAATTCCTCATCTTCGGTAATCTCCACGGTAATAGTTCTACTCTCATTTATCGGACAGTTGAAGAACACCCTAATTGTATATTCTTCTTTCTTAATTTTAGTAACTCTGTGTATTTCCCTAGTCATTCCATCAAAATTACACGACTTAGATAGCATGAACATTTTCCGAGAACCTCCATCATACACCGGCAAATTATTCACTCCGACGCCGAGGCTCCCATTAAAGAAACAAATAATGGATATGGAGTTCGTCATCGAAACTGAAAATACACAGTCCATCATATGCAAATAATCTATTAATATCTGAATAAATCAACATCAAATTTATTACCTTAATCAATCTCAAATAATGGCTACACCCTTAATTAAATAATTGCTAAACCCTCTCATATGTAAATAATTGCTAAACTAAACCCTAACTCCCAAATCACATTATTCATCCTATTGCACAAAATAAAAACTAATCCTACCCAATTCTAGCAAAATTAACAGCAAAATTAACAGCCAAAACATTATTCCCCCAATTCTAGCAAAATTTGATGAATATCCCTCTAAAAAATAATTGC